CTGCAATTAAAATAACACATTTTTTTTGTGGAATTATACCAAAGCACTTTTCTGTACATGATTATAATTAACTGTACCATAATGGAGAACCAACAATACAATGTACTATTGTGGTTCTCCAAATACAGTAATTTTTTCTTCGTTTAAACATCTTTGTAACAAGAATGCCTTTTTTGATTTGACTACCACTGTACATCGTATATTAATTATGTTGCTACACCGTTCGATTATAGAATAAGCCTATAATTCACACCATCCTTCAACTGTTGAATTTTCCATAGCGCACTTAACATACTGACGAAACAGCGCTTTCCTGATTGCAGACATAATACTACTTCACTTCATGTTCATGTTTTCACTGTTTTATTTCGTGCTAAGCCAGGCTATTTTTCTTCTCGTTTAAGCCGCGTACGACAGCTATATTTCCTCTAGCTGACAACGCCACAGCACGATACACGCCGATTTTATGGTCGCGGACCCCGTAACATCCCCTAGCTGCAGTAAATTGCGTCCAACAAAGTTATTTTCGTCACCACAGTCGACTTCGGTACTTTTGAGTTATGGTTGTTGTCTAGATAGGGTCGTCGAACATAAAATCTCGAAACAATATTAGAGCGGGGTAATGCGGAAACGTCTTTACTGGAAGCTTCAGGATTAGGACCTTTCGTTTCATTTACATTGGCAAGTCTGTCGTCAGATGTTTTTATGTTGCTCAGTTGGCAGTGTCAACAATGGCCAATAGAAGCTGCTCGTCGCCGAGGTGTATATCGTATACTGAATTTAATCACTCTATTCGTTTTAAGAAGAAATCTTGCAAGTTGTTAATAGCAATGCAAAATCTTTCTGTTGATAGAAAACCCGAAAAAATCAGGGTATTGCAAACAAAAACTCAAGACAAAATATCCACCAAAGGACACAGACAAATTTGATTCGTCCTCCACATTTTTATTTCTTTTCCAGATTCTGCTCGATAAGACTATATCTCTTGTTTTTACACTGGTATAGTCTTTCCGAAGTCAGTTGAACATGTATAAAAACGCAAAGTAATAAAATGTAATGAGAGGCCTCCCTTAAAAAGGTTTTTGCTAAAGGTAAAAAATTATATTTCCACTGTTTAGCGATCAAGACACTTCAAATTTCGAGCCCTGAGGATGGTGTAAAATAACACCGAAACATTGGCAATGATTTAAAATATAGTGTTCTTTTATTTATTGATCTTTATCCCTCTAAATACTAAAACCTTGACTTGGGTAAAAAATTATAATAATTTGTATATACAGGCTGTTACAAATTCGCTTCTCACTACAGGAATCTCGGAAACGGTAAGAGGTACGAAGTAGCGTAAATGGGGGCAAAGTTGCGTAATCAGGGGACCAACATTGTGCCTCAACAAAAAACAAGACTAACATGATTAGTTTTCGAAATATTTGAAAAAAACCGAAATCAATTTTTATATGTAACGTTTCGTCTCTCCAGGACCATCATCAATTTAATTTGTTTAAATACGACCCTAGAAATTTTATTACATTTTTTGCAAGTCTTCATGATCCTCAATACTGTACTGCCTCAGCCCGAACCAGATTCAGACGTTTTGTCTCGAAAAATTCATCTTCAGTGTATTTGTTCCAATTTTATCTAAATTTTTTATTTAGATTTCTTTGTTTATTGAATTATCGTTCACTGTAAGTGTCGTTAGACAATTTGAAATCCATCTAGTCATTTAAACTATTACCACCACGCGTTACAATAAAACATTTATTATTATTAACTATTACCATCACTTGGTCACACTCAATAAGTTGTTGCGTTCAAATTAATACATTATTACAACTTTAATTTTATTATGACAAATTAATTCTTAAAAATGCATATGAACAACCAAAACGCCAACTGAATATTATTCTTTAAAAAATTTCAGTAAATGTTCAAACATTTTCGTTTTGGCAAAGGTTGAAAATGAAGATCAGCATAATGTTATCGGAATTTATTATATCTGTAACCGCAACTATGAAAGAGCATGTCAGATATATTTATATGAATATCCTGAAAAAAATAGATCTGAAGTTGTTTGAATTTTGAGCACTCGAGAAGCCTAGAAATAACTATGGACACGGGGGTAAAACTCTAATAATTTTTTATTTTAATGCGTGTACGAATACACTGAAGATGAATTTTTTGAGACAAAACGTCTGAATCTGGTTCGGGCTGAGGCTGAGGCAGTACAGTATTGAGGATCGTGAAGGCTTACAAAAAATGTAATAAAATTCCTAGGGTCGTATTTAAAAAATGAAGTTGATGATGGTTTTGGAGAGACGAAACGTTACATATAAAAATTGATTATGTCATTCGATATAGGACAAAAAGTGGCCATGAGAAAGTGTTCTTCTTTTTTCAATATCACCTCAAACAAGGCTGAAATGAAACAAAAACGGATTTCTAAGATTTCGGTTTTTTTCAAGTATTTCGAAAACTAATCAGGTTAGCCTTGATTTTTTAGAAGCATAATGTTGGTTCCCTGACAATCATTAGTATCATTGCCATGAAACTGTCACTATGAAAGATACCTACTAAGTAAAAATGTTTTAAAAAATGTTACTGTTCTGAGCCATACATTATTTAAAAAATAATTATTTTTGACTAAACTACGCAGAATTCGAAAAAATAGTAGACATTTTTTCTTCAAAAATGTCTAATTCATTAAAAAATAATATTATTTGCTTGATAATTCAAAGGAACAAAAAAAAATTCGAAAAATTTCTGTAAAGAGTAGTTACAAAACTATTCTTATTTATAACCGATTTTGATGAAACATATGGCAGTGAAAGACCCCTATAGTATGAATATTACCTACAATTTTCATTTCGTTATCTTAATCAGAAAGAAAATTATTTTAAAATATATCCAAATGATAAGACCCCTTTGGAGGGGCATATCTCAGTAACGGTGCTCCGAAGGACCAATGTTTATAGGAACTTTTTTTACTATTTTAGGCTCTACTTTCACCACTTAATTTTGTACCAACTCTTCCAAACACCCTGTATAAACGTGCAATACCTTAAAATCAAATGTTGTACATTTCCCAAATGGTTTTCAGAGCACACTTTCCAAATTCTTCTGAAACTTCTCGTTCTTACCGTTGCTTTACAGAATATTTTCCGTAAAACTTTTTTTTGTAACATTAAAACTAGGTCTACAGTTGAACTGTACAAGAATGTATATTTCTCGACTCAAAAACATCGCAGAATTGTCAGCAAATGAAATATGGCTTGTTGTTCATATTCCCTCTCTCTTAACCAGACTCTACTTTTTATTGTTTCTATTGTTATTATTACTCCAACGTAAAAAATCATACGAGACTTCCTTTTGGTATCTCTTATAACAAGATACAAGAGCCGATGTATCCAACTGAATCGCACAAGCCCGTATATCCCCTGTTCCACCGAAATTCGCCCGTTAGCCGGTAAAATTTGGTCCGAGCTGCAAGTTTTTCACCCACCTGTCCAGGTGGCACTTTCGTGGAGATAATTGTGCGAACCGTCGGCCGTGTGTCGTGCCCGGCCTGGTCCGCGGAGCACAGCGGCCCCTCCCAACTTAACGCCCACTTCCTACTGACCCCTGCGGCACAGCGACTTAACTGCACTTCTTCTGGCCCGAGAGGAATGCGGTGCCGACGCACTCGCGGTCCCCGTAGACTACAGATCACGGGATTACGAAGAAATAGAATCTGACTCTATCAAAGCTGGTGCTGGTAGAGTAAACCGGGAGAATATGGCAACTTGTTTCTAATGCAGTCGTAATTTTATGACCCGTGACCACGATGGTCGTGTACAATGTCGCAGTTCTTCAGGAATGTGTTTCTAATGACAATATGGACGACAAACATTTTTTAGTCGGTCATTTCGTCATATAATCCAAGCGTGGGGTAATATGGCAGCACATATTGTGGAATATGGCAATAGATGCTGAGGCATATGACAAAAGACGTGGGAGAGTATAGCAACAATAGTTAGAAAATAATAGTAAGTAATATGGCAACATATGTTGAGGAATATGACAGGAATCGCTGGGGAATATGACAACAGACGTAGATTATGGGGGAATATGACAATAGACGTAGGAGAATGTGGCAACAAACGTCAGAAAAAAATAAGTGACAATATACGTGGGAATATGGCAACCTATGTTAGGGACTATGATAACAGACGTAGATTATGGAGGAATATGATAATAGACGTAGGAGATTGTGGCAACAAATGTCAGAAAACAATAATAATGACAATATACGTGGGAATATGGCAACCTATGTTGGGGAATATGACAACAGACGTAGATTATGGAGGAATATGACAATAGACGTGGGAGAATGTGGCAACAAACGTCAGAAAACAATAATAGTGACAATATACGTTGGGGAATATAGCAACTTATGACAAGATGCGATTCTCATTAATGAGCTGCCATGTTGTATTAACTATTTAAATGGTTAAGAAATAAATAGGTATAGAACTAAGGCATATGCCATGAAAATATACTTTATGATCTCATATTACATTACAATGTGACATATTACATTGAAATTTCATAAACATAGTCTTTGAACATATGTGAATATTAATAATAATAAAATAAATATGGTTCGTAGTATGTATACCATATTTGAAATCGTCTTTCGTCGTATCCAATTTATATCGAAAATAGAAATTCTGATATTGTATGTCAGTTTAAGAAAGAAATTATGAAGGAAAGGATTATCCACAGTAATCCATATTACCGTACTTTACATCATAGTCAATTGCTTCTGTCTCAGCAATTAATACAGTTAATAGCTATTAAAAATTTTAAGCAACCTTTTGAAGAAACAGACACATTTGTTTACAATAGTTCTGCACTCTTTGCACGTTTCACTAGCCAATCTAGCATCTTCGGGTATTGTATTGAACATAGTCTTCAACTCAACACTGCGTTGTTTTTTCACTGACATTTGTTATTCTCTTTTTCAGGTATAACGATCGGCTTAAAGACATGACGCAGAAACAGAGGATGGACAAAGAGGAACAGCAGAGGGTTCTCGTCAGGGACCTGAACCCTGTGATAACGTGCCGTCTCTGCGAAGGATATTTCGTCGACGCTACGACACTGGTGGACTGCTTACACGTGTGTAAGTATCTTTTTGTGAAAATTGCTCTTCATTTAGTTTATACCGGATGTCGATGTATTTTGTGTTTTGCCACTTGTGTAGTTTTAAAAGTAAATAAATATTGCGTGATAGTAATATTGCGAAAAATTTTAAGGAACAATTCCTTGACAAAAAACTTTTTCTATGACTCTCGAAAGGGGTTGAAAATTGCAACCCTTAATAGTTTTTCATCAATCAATATAAAACAACTAAAACACAAATGGTCACAGATGCTCAATGTGACCGCCATTATTATTGATGCACTTCGTATAATCCTCATTAATTTTCAGAACTGCATTTAGTATGAAATGGGAATTAATTTCACTTAAATTTTGTATACATTGATCAACTTTATGTCTTAGTTCATCTAAGTTTACACTGGTTTCCTTATAAACCTCGTTTTTTAAGTAACCCCGCAGAAAACTGTCCAAGATTGTAAGGTCTGGGCTATTTGAAGGCCATTGAATATTTCCTCCATTAGCAATCCACAAATCAAACCTATCATTTAAATAATTTCGTACTGCTCTGGTTTTCTGCGGAGGCACTGTCTTGGTTCCAAATTAAATTGGTATAGTCGATCAGCGGCAGGTCTTCCAATTTGTTTTCTATTTGATTTTCAAGAAAATGCAGGTATCTTTCCCCAGTCAAAGCACTTTCATAAAATAGTGGGCCAATGATTTTATTTCTCAATATATCGCACCAAACATTAAACAATGTGCGTCCTTGACTTGGAATTTCTCTATTACAGTAAGGATTTTCATTTACCCAGGTATGAATATTTTTTCTATTATAAATGCCAGCTGTTGTAAAAGTCGCCTCATCAGTCCATAAAATCTTTTCAAAATAGTTTAGGTTGTCATTTTTCAAGCGCAGCATTTCTCTGCAGTACTCCAATCGCTGAATTTTTTGATTTTAGGTGAGTTTTTGGACCGGCATAGTTTTATAGGGGCGGTATTTATATTTATGTAACGTTCTAATAATTTTATTTTGGCTTATTTCTGTCTTGAAGCATTTACTGTGGACTCTTGAGGCCTTTCTACAATAATTTAATATTTGAATTTACCCTGGTAAACCTCGAATGAATATTTGCTTACCTCGAAAATATAGTAATATAGTTAGTTCTAATTCTCCATTTGGTCTTCCAAGAGATTTTGTTTCTCTAAAGCGTCGCTCAATGTCGTAAAATGCAGCTCGAGATGGAATTGGAAACCCGGGATGCAAACGAGCATACTCGGCGCGCGCTGCATTCACATTATTATTATTATTGTAAAATAAACTTATAATTTCAAATTTTTCGTTCTCACTAAACATTATTTCTTTGTTAAAATAGTTTATTATAGTAAAAAATTTAATGATGCGTGCCTCATCCATAGATAGCCACTGCGATCCGTCAGACATAAATGTCCCTCCTGTTTTTTCAAAAATAGTTTTAAACTGAAATATGTCGAAAAGTCCTGAATCAAACAGTAACATATTACATATTTTTGAAAACAGAAAAATTTAACGAAGCTAAGTATGCACTAATAGGGTCAGTTGGGGTAATTGTAAACGATTCTAATAAAATCAACTTTGATAAAGTCTAAAATTTGAAGTTTAACAGTTGTGAAGATAACCTTAATATTGGACATTCTTTGGAACACCTTCTAGAATGCCTTAAACGTGCAACTTAACATTGTTAACCGTTACCAAAAAAAAAAGGGTGTTTACAATTACCCAGGAAAAAAAATATAGAAATATTGGGGCAAATGTAAACTAACCATTTATCATTCTATAAATTCTAAATGATTTTCCTATTCTAGCTCGAGCTATAAGGCAATTCGCAAGGTCGTTTCTACATCTATTATTGGGATTGCAAGACGGGTCCTGCAAACTTATAGGCTTCATGGTATTTTTTCTTCGTTTAATCCTTTGATATATAACGGCAATAGGAATATTGTAAGTCTCCCTGTAAGTTTTATTGATATTCTCTACATCATTAACAGCATTAATAAGATCCAATTCGCTGTATCTTTCAATGTTCGGTCGTTTCTTCTGATAATTTCGCACCATTGTGTTTCTGAGAGTAGAAACGCGTTTACAATTACCCCTTAAATGCTTTTACAATTACCCCGTTTTAAATTTTGAACGGGGCAATTGTAAACACACATCTACTATGAATTTGTGAAGCCTAACCTAAAAAAGTAACGTGGTTTCACATTGTTCATTCAATAATGAACGTTACTATATAAATAAATTGCCTTATCTTTATCAAAATCTGATTTATGCACATTTAAAAAGCAAAAGTAAATTCTGCTTAACAAATTTTTGAGTCGTATCTCCGAAAAATAACTGCCACAAGCAGAAAACCAACACAATGAAATCGTTATTACTGTACTATAACAAAACATTAGTCCACATGTCACGAATGCCTTTGTACGGCGTTACTACCCGCCAAATTCAAAAGTTATGAAGCTTGTTTACAATTGCCCCTGTTCACGATTACCCCAACTGACCATTAAAAAAAATTAATTTAGTGATTTCATTTTTTCAATTGCTTTTTCTGATAGTGTATTATAAAAATTCAAAAAAAAAGCTAAAACATTTATATTAAAAAACTTTTTTGTAATTTCAATAATAAACTCACAATAAGTGGCTAACCCTGTACATCTCTCAAGTCGTACAACTGGCAGTTTCATTTGCAACGCACAACTTTTAAAAGGTAAACTATACAAATACCGAATTGTGCTATATGAATTCGTTTATAATCTTGCTAACGGCAACCCAATACCAGCCAGTCGCCACTATGGAGGTTTTCTAGATCGCGTTGTCCCGCATCATACGCTGTTTAGTCGTTTACATCAGCGTCTTTGTAAAAACTGGAGTTATAAAATATATACCGCTGAGTATAGGCACCCTCAAACATTTACTCCTGAAATGGAAGAACAGGTGTTTAAAGAAATCGAAGATAACCCTACAACAAGCACTAGGGAGATTGCTCACACATTAAATCTTAGCCACTCAACAGTTTGGAGAATTCTTAAAAATTAATAAGCTTCTCTAGAGATGCAATAATGAATTTTCACAACACCACCAGTTTTCCCTTAATGTGTGTATGGGGAACTGTTGGGACTCTTTTGAAGAGGATTTGCTATCACTGTTTGAAATCCCACTTAAATTCTGTTGTCCGGCAGTATTTGGATGCCCAATCCGTTGGGTAAGTGAGGAGGTTGGCCTCCACATTCCCCAGGCATAAACCCTCTCGATTTATTTCTCTGGAGATATCTTAAACAGTTGGTTTATACGACTCCAACTGAAAATATGCAGCAATTACAGAGTCGTAGTATCACTTCTTGTGGGGCAATTCGCCAGACTCCCGGCATTTTTTAACGTTTCGCCAATCAAAGCGTCTCAGAATAGTAGCTTGTCAGAGTCGTCATATCCAACAGTTCTTGTAAATGTATTTTTTACTAAAAAAAACACAAAATTCAAGTTTTGAAATTCCAAACTCCGTAAAAAGATACAATGAAAAAACAATTAAGGGTTGCATGTTTCAACCCCTTAGAAGATAGCAGATGATAAAGTAACATACCAAACTGAATTTTAACCTACCTTTCTAATCCTGACAGCAGACGTTTGTGGAAATAAATTTATATAGAAGATACCCCTTACTTTTTGTCAAAAAATCGCTCCTCAAAGTTTCATTCGCAGTATTAAAGAAACGCCCTGTATACTAGCTTGTAACCTAACCCGCCATTCTTGACAATTTGCTCCACATTCGCGGTATTACATTTTAATCGGGCCATACACGCCGCGTCAGTAGGTACTAATTTCGGACAAGGTCATCGCAAATTAATAGGTTGATTAAATTTTTACGCTACCGTATTTGTTAAATAAAATAGAATGCGCATCGGCCGGCAGAATCGATTAGCCGAATCCCGATAATGTATACGGAAATTAACCCACATGGGGGCGCATCCCGCATTCATTACGGTTATTATCCGCTGAAATTTGTACGCGCGTGGTTTTTACCGATATTGTTTGTTATCGGTAGTGCCCGGTGAGCCCTACACTGAGAAGAGTGGTGCAGAGGTTCGATGAATGTAGAAATTTCGGAAAGACTTGAATTTCGGGTCAAATGTCTAGCTTGTCAATACGCCCTAACAAAAAAGGAATAGTCTCTAGATTAATAAAGATTAAAGGTGGTGGATTTTTAAGTTATTTTAAAGAAAAAGGTTCGTATGGGTGGTATACAGAGGGTTCAAAACATATATCGGAAAATGAAGGGTGTGACTCTTTGGCTCATTCTAAGAAATTTTTTTTTTATTAATATGGGTCCGCAAATGCACCGTTTTCGAGATATAGGGTGTCAAAATTTTTTTTTTTTTCAGTTTTTTGACGATATCTCAGGAACAAGATACAAAACTCAAATTTGTACACGTATTATCATTAATATTAGCTACTTTTGAGCGCTAATTAAATTTTCATTCATATGACAGTGGCGGAGATTTTAGGATTGCGTGAGGTTCTTTTGCCCCTAATTTGCGGAATTAGTCTACGTCAAACCGTTTTGTGATATTTTCCAAAAAGTTTGACATCATATATGTATTTACCTTTCTCAAAAATCAAGCCCAAAGAAACGCCCTTTTTTACTTGAACGTATCTACCACCGTATCTTGATATACAGGTTCGGAAAGTTCCCATGGTACATCGGCCGTTACGTGAGAGCGATAAAGTAAGTCATAGAAATCCGTGCGATAGACAAGGATGGTTACATTGAAGACGTTTCATAATTTGAATAGTCAGTCGACTTCTAACCCGAAACGGGCGATGACTATTCAGATTATGAAACGTCTTCACTATAGCCATCCTTGTCTATCGCACGGATTTCTTTACTTTACTTTATGTGGATTTTCCAGCCCTGTATATTATATTTTCAAGTCAACTTGCATGAAAATTTAATTTCTTTAAGAACTGCATAAATTTGTAGTCTGTAACCGACAACTAACAGTGGTAAAAAAAATAATTTCTGTAATGGCATGTTTAAAATTATGTAAAAATTTTAAATGTTGTCGCGTGATCATGAACGCATTGTGACGTCATTTAGTGTGACCGTGAACACAACCTGCTTCTCGGCCGTATGCCGTCTAGTCTACAATTCCAATAACGACGAGACGAAATTTAATTTAAAGAAACTTGCAGGCGTAGAGCCTCGAAGCAAAGTGAATTTGACTGTCTCTAGAGACTCTTTTTACTTACTACACTCATGCTCCAGGCAGTTCTGCCTCTGTCATTCATCTTCTCGATTCTCGATCACACTAAATGACGTCACGAAATTTAAAACATTTATTTTGCATCATAGTTTAATAAATTATTCTCTTCGTTTCCTTCAACTTTGATCACCGACTTTAACATCGCCATCTTATAAAAAATAAAATTGATCCAACTTATTTTTGTATTTATTTATTTTATTTTTCACATTTTTGAGACAGTTTCTCTGATTTAACCGTAATCACTTATCTCTTTTACAGTTTGCAGAGCTTGTATCTTAAGGCACTTCGAAAACAGCAAAACTGGATGCCCCACGTGCAACACTATGTACAAAAAGAAATCACAAACCTGTTTCAGGTAAGAGAAAATATTTTTGATGTCACTTTTCCACTTTTTACTGCTTGAACCACCTAATAAACAGTTATTAAACGAAAATAAATGCTTCATTCAAACCACCAGAGTTGATTAGGCACGTATTTTCAAGATACCCTGTATATGTAGAGGATATATGATTTAGAACTTATTCAAAAAAAATAATAATAAGTGGGTCTACTTTTGGTTTAAATGCCAAAAGTGTAAATAGACGTATTATAACTTTAGAAAAACCGTTTTTACGCCACTGGAAATCTGGTACTCCCATGACTGTACATACTATTAATATTTTTCGGATAAGTTTTGAGTGGCCCCGTACATTACTGGGTGTTTTGACAATACATTTATAGTTAAAATATCTTTGAATTTATGACTAGTTAGACTGGAAAAAATTATGAAAATTCTAGCATTTCTTTTTTTTTATTTCAGGCCTGACCCCCAGATCCAGACCCTCGTATACAAACTGGTGCCCGCCCTGTACGCCAAGGAGATGCAGCGGAGGGAAGATTTCTATCGCAGCACAGGCGTCAGGGCGTCCAGCTCGTGCAGCGACGACAGCGTCATCGACAGAGAAAGGGATATGATAAATGACCAGGAGGAAATGGTGAGTGTGTAGGACCATTCATAATAATCATTCATTGATGGTAAATAGATAGCGCCGGGTGCCCCTTGCGGTGGTTACGAGGGAGAGTCCCAATTTACCATCAAGCAGTAATTTTGAAATTCGTTCATCATTTTCCCAAAATGATCAGTGCCGAACATATTAGATGGGCATCCTCTCCTCTACGTCTTCGATTGTAATGCAATTTCCAAATACTTCTTTCCCCAATTTCATTCTTTCCATAGTCTAAGTGACTACTTATACCTATTCCATACTACCATCTTTTAAATTGTTATTTTTTGCACTGCAGATCTCATCTTACGTTGGCGACAAAACTCAGTTCTTCGGCCCCGAAGACTCGATATCCCTCTCCCTGGAGTACTACCAGGCCCACCTGGACTCCACTGACGCCGAAGAGAAATCGAAACCGCCCCTCTTGTCCAGCGACAGTGACACCTCCTCCAACAACTCGTCACAAAGTGACGGTGTTCAGACTCAAAACAAAATCAAGACTGAAAAGCCAGATCTGACGAACGTAAATAGTGATAGTGATTGTACAAAGGACAAGGAACAGAATGACGGTGGAAATAGTGTGAGTGACAGGGACGTTAGGGAGTGCGATAAGAGGTTTTTGCAGTGTCCCCCAGCTGTCTCCATGAAGCACCTTCAGAAGTTTATAAGGATGAAGTTTGGACTGACAGGAGACCACAGGGTAAGAGTATTTCACGTTCTTGCTTAAAAAGTCGTAAATAACCACTTCTGTGACGTCACGGATTCTGCGGTGGGGCCTTCTATCCAGTACTTTTATAAATCTTAACTGTCTGAGATCTCAAGCTGGATAATTATTATTGCTTACGTTTTAATAACCAGTTACCGTTTCCTAGTGATTCAATAATTATTACTGTTTGATAGTTGAAGAAAATGTTCAGTTTTTCACACGGTTGAAGTTCTAGTTCTTTAATTGGCCTACTTAAACATGTAAATATTTTTAATTTATGTGTATTAAATGAGGTTGTTGTTGTTTTCATTTGCACTATATATTCTAGCAAAAATGATCTAGGAACACTTTCAACATCGTAAAAAGTATACAGAGGGTTTTTAGAAGTACCTAACTAATTTTTATTTACCCAAATTTTACGTGAATATTTTTGGTAGCATGGATGTGTCATTTCAAATGTTTTTTTTTAGGTGGATATGATCTACAAAGGGGAAGTCCTGCCGGCCAACTTCAGCCTCATGGACGTGGCTTACACATTCAAATGGAAAAGAGTGAGTACAAATTAAGTAACATTCTTTTTTCTCTGTTTCTGATTAACTAATAATATTTCTAAACCAAAACCGAATCTTGTTTTTTGAAATGTCGAGAAACTTGTTCGTGTCACTGCAATCAATAATACTTCGAAGAAATCTCGCATATGAGAGAAAATTAAAAGGGGGTCTAAATTTGAACCTTGTAGTACTCGTGGAACTAAAGTTTGTTTATTCAATGCAATTGCATTTAGTCAATTTAGGTACTGTATGAATATGAACAATTTAAAAAAAAATTAGATTAGATGTACAATTATCTTCAATTTTAACAATTTCTGCTCTCCAATTCTCTTCCGTCTAAAATTTAATTTACTATTTATTCTTTTTTTCCATTAACTTAATGAAATCAAAAAACTAGGAACACTGTAAGTCATGAAAAATGAAAAAAGATCAAATTAGGTTACTGTCTTATTGGAAATATAATAGTTTGTTTCAAAACTTGTTTGCGTCATTGCAGTTATAGTTTTTTCGAAGTCAGTTGAACATGTATAAAATCACCTAGCAAAAAAATTTAATGAGTTTCATAGGCGCCCCTAAAAAATTTTTCTGCTAAAGGTAAAAAATTATAATAATTTGTATATAATGTGCAGAAAATTTCGATTATATGTTCATTTGGCCAACAATATATTTTAATTATTTATATCCTCAAACAATTTTATTATATTGATGGTAAATTTCGTTTTGTTCCGTTTCAAAAGGTCTCCAAAATGCCATGTTGTAATAATGTTAGTAAACAAAATATCCCTCTTATTTCCCCCTTTCGCAATTGTTATGAATAGAAGGTGCCTATAATAAATTAAAATTGCCTGAATCACACCGAATTCTACATTGCTGCACTGCACTGCTAGGCAATTTGTCAACCACTTGTCAACAACTGAGATTTATTGCCCAGTCGCCCAGTGCGGCTGTGTTACACGTTGTTTGCCAGGGCGCCCATTCTTCAACTGGGCGTATACATTTCTACCACTTCCACGTTTAGTTCTACCAGACCTGTATATGGGTATGGCTAAATAAATATGAGAAAGAGTTTTTTAAATATTTCAATGCTGAGTTGCTGCGTCAGCGACCGAACCTGGTACATACTGCTACCTCTTGGTACTTCACTTGAGATCGGAAAGACTACACTAATATTTTGAAAAAAATTAATCTAGTTAATTATTCTAGAAGAAATTGAAAGGGGGCCAAAATTTGAACCCCGTGGTATCCTTAAAATTAGATTTTGTTTTTCTAACGTGGAGCTAGTGTCACAATTGCTTTTAATCGATTTTGACAGTTTGGGAACAAATTTAAAAAATTTGCATGCTGGATTACTTGTACTATTATTTTCATTTTCAGCAATTTCTAACATTATCCTCTTCTTTCTCCTATTCTCTTCCGTCAAGAGTTGACGTTACTGTTTATTCTTTTTTCTATTACCTAATAGCAGTTTAAAAAATCGCGCATTGCAGTCATTAATACCAGAACAATCTTAAAGAGGCCTCAGTTGTTGTCCTCTTGGAATCAAAAATTATTTTATTGAAACGCAGACAAACTTGTTTGTGTCACTGCAGCTAATCAAAAAAAATCTCGCATAGTTGGCCATTAATACGAGAAGAAACTAAAAGTGGACTCAAATTTGAACCTTGTGGTATCCTTAGAACTAAATTTTGTTTTTCTAAGTCAGAATTAGTGATTGTAGTCAATTTAGCGATAATTTGTTAACAAATATAAAAAATTTAGATGTACTGACAATATTTGTTATTATTTCTAATTTTAGCTTTTTTTAACTTCTACTTCTTTCTTTTATTATCTTCCGTCCAAAGTTTAAGTTACTTTTTATTTTTTTTCTTTTAACTAATACTACTTTAAAAAGTCACGTATTTCAGTCATTGATACCAGGACAAACTTAAAGATGGCTTAGATTAAAACCCCCTGCAAATTTTGTTTTTTGAAACGCAGAAAAACTTAATTGTGTCACTGCAGCTAATAGTTCGAAAAGATCTTGCATAGCTGATCACTAATGTTGGAGGAATTTAAAAGAGGATCCAAATTTGAACCCTGTGGTATCCTTAGGATTATATTTTGTGATTATAACGCAGAACTAAACCGCAATTGTATTTAGTTGATTTAGAGACAGTTTGTGAACAAATTTCAAAACTTTAGATCGATTGTTACTTTTATTATTATTATTTTTTCCATTTATGACAATCTTTGACTTTTTCCACTTCTTTCTTCAATTTTTTTCTGTCCAAAATTTAAGTTACTACTCATTATTTTTTACATGAACTAATATCTAAGAAACTACGCAGTGCACTCACTACTACCAGACCAAAATTAAAGAAGGCCCAAATTTGAACCGTGTGGTATCCTTAGAACTAAATTTTGTCTTACTAAAAGAAGACTATCAATCAAATAGACGATTGAGAGTTTATGCATACACTTCAAAAATTCGGATCTACTTTTAATTATTATTTTCATTTTTAACAGTTTCTGACCGTATATAAATATCTTCGATTTCCTTTCCTTTCTTTAAGCCCATGAAATAATTAATCTGAAATTATTCCGATTAATTTATGTCCGTTTGGTGCCACAGAATCGTTGTTTGCAACGGTTGAAAGTTGTCGCCATAAAACGTTTGTATACAATAAGAAAAAAACTAGCGCGGAACATGTAGACTACTGCCGGACATTTATAGGACCAGACTATTAGAAATGTTGCTGCATAAAATCAGCTGGCTGGTTATATCAGGCAAATTTGCATATTGTATATCTGTGTCTCGCGAGCATACGCGTTATTTGTCGATCGATATCATCGAATACTTTCGAATGTTGTTAACGTAGAAGGGGTGCTCCTCAGGGCACAATATTAGGGCCGTTATTACTTACCAAATGTTCTACTGGCCCTTGCAATCAGAGATAATGTTAAATTGAATGAATTGTTGAACAGAACTTTTTGTGTCGCCCTGGTAGGCCGCAATTTTTTTGTTTGACGATGACGAGTGTTACAAATCACCTAAAAATAGTGGATAACGAGTTGGAACGTCAAGAATTCGATATAATTATCGATCTTTTGGACTTTGGTGCGAAATAAACGGCTTAGACGACAAACGGTCGACCGGCGTTCTTGACGAAATGCAAATCTTTGATAATTTTCCGTAGTTAGCGCTCTGTGTAAATGGGAGAACGGTGGATTTGTTGCGCCGTCGAAACGTTCTAAATGGTAATGAACGTCCAAGAGAGAGAGAGAGAGAGAAAGAATAACGACCTATTCGTTTTCTCAATTTCTGCTTCCTTGTTCGGCCATTTGCATACAAAAGCAGTTTGTGAGAGCAGATTGGAACGAATAACTGAACGGGTGATAGTCCACACTACCTAATTCTTCTTGGGTCTAGTTTCAGTGGCGTGCCGGTTTGTTAGTGTCAGGACTAGACGAGATACAAAAAAATCTTGCGTTCACAATTAGATACCGATAAATACTATACAGGGTGTTAATGAATAGGTGTTACAAACGGATATGGTATGTAAAAAATCCAAAAATAAGTGCAGTTTACTTAATAAACATATGTCCTAAAGCGGCTCATTTTCGAGATACAGGGCGTTGAAATTTAAAAATAATAAACTATTTTTTCCTGTAGCTCCGGTATTAGTTAATATTTCTTTATCAAACTCAACAGACAGATTTACTAGCTTAAAGGATGCATAAATATGGCAGAAACCATTTATTGGCTTCTTCTAGTGGCGTGCGATAGGTGTCGTTTCACCTTTTATCCCCCCTAAATTGTGCGGCACTGTACAAATATTCGTTTTTCGTACGTTATAGAATTTACTAGTATTTTTTACGTAAATAATGTATACTTGTTAGACTTCCATAAAATGAGTAATTATCAAGTTATTAACATTTACATTACTGAGGTCACCTTATGCTCCAAAAAC